TATGGACCTGCACGTTTCATTCAGCTTTCTATTTGCTTTAATGGCTGTAGTGGGTGATGGAATATGACAGATGACGGTAATTACAGCACGGCGGGTTCGTTTGTTTTTTTTTACTTTCTTAAGAAACGTTATAGGCATCCTTTGCATTTTAAGCAGCTGTAAAGATGGGTGTGGTGTCCCGGGTAGCATAGCTGGCTAAATACAATAACTATAGGGCAGGCCAGCATGAGACTCTCGAGCTAAACCAGTAACTGCTCTCTACTGAACTGCAAAATTAGCTTAAAGATTTCCGTTGGGTTTGCAGCCCTTGGGTTTAACTTAGATCTTCAAATGGAGGTTGCAGCTGTTCACAAGGGCCGACATTTTAAATTTGGCTTTAAGCATGTATGAATTATTAGTGGTAATAGTATGCAGTCTTTTTGTTTTGCTGTCTGATCCACACGTTTAGTTGCTTACAAGCAGGGGGGCATTGATCAGAAGGGAAAGCAGGGGCTGAGGAGCTTTTGTCCAAGTCCTATGGACATTGAGGCACACTCCACACTTTTAGTGTGTAATATAAGGGAGCTGAAATGCCAGTTCCCGACTTCACTGCCCAGGCAGACCGAGGCAGTATCAGCCCTGCTGAAATCATGCAGAATCTTGCTGAAAGCAACGCGACATTACACGCACACACTCATACCTATATACATACCTCAGGGCATAAAGCAAAACTTGTGAAATTTTTTCTTACTGACTAGCAGGCTCGAGGTATTTGTTGAAGGCCTAACACTGAAGATAAATCCCTGAGTTTGGCCCGCACCTTGCCTGCAAGAAGTATGGGGGAACACATCTGCTTTGTCAGTAGACCTAAATCCACAACAGGAGCATATGCACCACTACAGGGAAATGTTTGAAGGCGAATCAAAAACAGCTGAAAACCAGTGATATCAAAGGAGATGTCAAAACAACAGCTTTAAGACTTGTGGTCAGCTGGTACCTGGGACAAAATTGATATTTACAGGCATGAGCCTTTTTGCCAGACGGGAATGTAGCCCCGTGTTCCTGGCAGCACCTTTGGTCTCTGGCAGATTTTGTATTCATGAAATGAAACATGTGAGCTTGCCCGTGGCTTTATACCTTGTTCTGCGCACATAAACTTGCTGCTACTCATGCTTTGGGGCCATGCGGCGACACTGGTGTTAGGAAGCAGTTTCCCATTTGATCTCATCGTCGCAGTCAGCTCAGGCTGCGAGCAGAGAAGAAGCTGTGGTGCTCGATGGCTGGTACTCCGTAAATGAGGCTCAGCACTGCTAAAGCCCATACACAGCTGGAGAGCCAGCTGTCACTGGGGTAGGGAGGTTTTCTGACATAGCAAACTGGTTTTCCCTTATCTGGTTTATTTGTTTCTAGGCAGCACAGCTAATGGTGAGTCTCAGCGTTGGGAGCTGTGAGCTGGTTATTAGACAGTGTGGACTGGCTTTAACGGCAAGCATCCACGTACAAGTGAGGCCGTTGCTCCTTTGGAGCAATTTAAGATTCCAGTATATTGCATTGCTAATGAACTTTTGATTGAACCCCAGAATTTATTTTCACTGAAACTGGGCTTTGGACTTACAGAGATGGACATACAGAAATGGGAAGGAGGATGTGGCAAGGGGATGAAGAGGTCTGGCTAAGGAAGGAAGGAAGTTGCCAGGGCTTGTGACCGCTGTATCCAGTGTAGCGTGGGAGGCAGAAAGAGTGAACAGGTATGCATGTTTGGAAGAGGATGAGCTGTGTGTGGAGGGTGGCAGTGGGAAGTGCTGTGAGCAATATTCGTGGGAAAAACCCCAAACAACAACCTGTTACTGCAACAAAAACCTAAAGAGAGCTGAAAACAAACAGTCCTCTGTGAATGCAATGGGCACTAGACACTCTCACCACCTGAGGAGAGTAATTAGCAAGTGCTGAGTAAGAGCTTGTTCTGGGTTTGGAGGGGCAGCATTGTTATGCTAATAGTCCTTTCGCTTGCCTGCAGTGCTGCTGTTGTGCTCTCCTGGAAGAACTGGGCAGGAGGCTATCCCAGGACCTATTAGTGAGGAAGGGCTGGTTGCAATTTCATCTGGTCCACTGCAGGCGGCTGCAATCCTGCCTTTCCTCCCTACCCCTGCACACATCTCCCTGCCCCTCGCAATGGAGCCCTCTGAGCATTTGCGAGGTCTCACAGCGAGTCTGTTTGAGGACACAAGCTGCTTGAAACCAGCCCAGCTGAGGTGGTTCGCTTTTGGTGAGGGCAGTTTCTGAGCTGTGATCTGCCTGGGCTGGCATCAGGCAGGTCATAGGAGTCATGGCCAGTGTGGGAAGGGGTCAGAATCACAGCAGGACTGGCTGGGGCTGCCACCGCCCGCTGGTCTGTGAGGCTGTCTCTGGCATCTAGGTGCTCTTCTTCCCTTCCCCAGCCATTCTCATCATCAGTGGTGAAGTTCCTCCTTGCCCTGTTCGGTTCTGCCCATTCCTAGCACGTCAGCCATGCTGTCAGCACTTCATAATGCCCTTCTTGCTTTAACAATTCAGGTGAGAATCAGTTGGTTTTTTTCAGAGTCTTAAGCTGTCTTTAACAAATGTAGACCCAGTTTTGGCCTAAGTTCTCTTGTCTGAGAAACATGCTTTCTGAGAATTTAATTAGAAGTGACTCTCATTTACATAGATTCTACCAGCTGCTGTTAGCTCAGCGGCCCTGAAGAAAAAACTCAGATGAGGTTGTGAAAGCCATTAGTGAGGACATTAGAAGCAACCATATCCAGGTCAGGCAAAGTTCTGAAAATACCTAGCATTCATGTGTCCTTAATTGCTTTTCTCCCTTTAGAGCTGTTGGGTGAACGCACCATCTGGGAAGGGGCTGCCTCGGGGATTTCTTTTCCATTATGTGATGTAGATATGGAGAGAGAAGAAGGCAATGACTGCTCAACAAGGAAAGGAAGAAGTAGACTTGAGCAGCAGAAAGAAATTTGAACTTAGTGGAAGAAGATCTAAGGAGCTAATATGGGGCCTAAACAGGGGCAGATGTGCTTGGAGGAGCAGCAAATGAGTTGCTGAGCTACTTTGCGAAGATGCTAAGAGCATTAAACATCTTATGGAGAAACATGAGATACCACTTCTGGACTTCAATGCCTTGTTCAGGTGTGCCTTTGAGCAAGTCAAGAACATAATAAGGTGATTTCTGTATCTTACAGGAACATCAGAAGTATGAGAAGCTTAGGCATCTTGAGGATGGAGACAGTAAAAATGCACAGCTAGCTCCAGGCCTAGAGTCAGAATCTCTCTCAGGACTCCTGTTAGACTGGTGTGATGTCCACAGTGCCTCTGTCACCACATGCAGGACTTTTCTGCACTAGGAGCACAGCAGCAGAAATGCTTTGCCGGGATGCACATTGTCCTTATTCTTATTGGAGCGTGTCCAAAGAAGGGCAACGAGCCTGGTGAGGGGTCTAGAGAACAAGTCTTATGAGGAGCGGCTGAAGGAACTGGGGCTGTTTAGTCTGGAGAAGAGGAGGCTGAGGGGGAACCTAATTGCTCTCTACAACTACCTGAAAGGAGGTTGTAGTGAGGTAGGTGTCCATCTCTTCTCCCAGGTAACTAGCAATAGGATGAGAAGAAATGGCCTCAAGTTGCGTCAGGGGAGGTTTAGATTGGATATTAGGAAAAATTTCTTTACTGAAGTAGTGGTCAGGCATTGGAACAAGCTGCCCATGGATATGATTATGTCCCCATCCCTGGAGGTGTTTAAAAAATGTGTAGATGTGGACTTCAGGATATGGTTTAGTAGACATGGTGGTGTTGGGTGGATGGTTGGAGTTGATGATCTTAGAGGTCTTTTCCAACCTATGGTTCTATGACTCTGTGATTGTCAGGAGAGGAAAAGCGAGGTGGTGTGAGGTCAAGGGACTTGCCCAAAATCAGCGAGTGACAACTGTAGGGCTTGAAACCTTGTCCCAGTCCTATGCTCTACCTAACAGATAAAAGGCACCACTGCAAACCCACACTGCAAAGTTTTTGAGGACTTGCTTGCCTTTATTGTGTCAGGTGTGCCCAGCCCGTTATTTACTTAGTGATTCCTTTCCAATCTCGTAAATAAGATCTGACACAAAGGAGGTAACATCTAAATACTGTAGCATATGTTGAAATGTTCTCACTATGTTGTCCATGTAAGAAGCTTTGCCAGCTACACTTGCTTTTTGGCAGCTGCTGCAGTGACAGCTGAGAATGCAATATGTTAAAAATGCCACTTCTGCAAAATAGTTGTGGCCCATTGGGTGATTCCCAGCAAGATCTTGTGAAGGGAAAGACTTAGCCAAAACGCATCTGTTTGGGGCAGCAGGAGGGCTGAAGAAAGCAAAGCACGTTGTGAATGTTAAGCCAAGCACAATAATGGGTAGATGGCTAAAGACCTCAGTTGTTTTAGCTGAAATTATTTGAGACAACTTTGTGGAGTGTATGCCTGTGGTGTGAATTGATCAGGTGACATGAAACCATTCTTCCCAGGCCTTTGAGAGGGTGAAAAACAAAGGAAAATGACAGCAGATTAGCACAACTGTCAGTTTACTTTTCCTGCTAGAACCTTGATAGACCCTGGTTGATTGTTGTTTTAATTAATCAGAAGCAATCAGCTTGTAAAGGCTGTGATTAACACAGCTTCTGTTTCACCCCACGTTGTTTTCCAAACAGTGTATGTAGCAGTTCTGCAGAGTAGAAGGGGAGTCTGGAAGCTCCAGAAGCTGAGGATGGCTTCTGATGCTGACACGCCAAGGCTGCGCCCAGGCCCCAGCCCCGCTGGCAAACAACCGCCAAGGCTGCCCCCAGCCCCCAGCCCAGCTGTAAAACAGTGTAGCAGAATGCAGCAGTAGAGGATAAATAACTTTCTGCTGTTTTTAGGAGAAGAGATTTTTTTTTAATCTGAGATTCCCAAATGGAAGTTTGACACTTTGATTCTGAAGTAGCAGCCTGTTGCTTGTATGAACTTCTATTTTCTTTTCTCTTCGTAGGTTTGTTGATCGGCTCTGGTTGTGCCCTCTATCCTCTTGGCTGGGACAGTGAAGAAGTCAGACAAACCTGTGGCAACCTTTCCAACCAGTTTGAACTGGGTAAGTCATCATCAGAGCATCTCAACCGCATTAGACTCTTCCATGTGTTGTCCATAAAGGCAAACAAGGACATGTGTGCAGGCTTGGAGAAGCAATCTGGTTGTGTGTGCTAGGGTATTCATATTGCGTCATTCTGGTGTGGTGCTAAGGCAGGGGATTTCGGATAGATACGCTAGACATTGCAAAACAAAATGAAGAAAGGTATGTATGTATGTATGCATGTATATATTTAAGATATCGGATTTAATAGTCTTGCAATATGGGAGCGAACAATCCTGGAGATCTTGACAGGGTAGGCAGAAGAATCACATCATGGTGCAGGTCAGGGTAATTCACAATGAGTGCAATTAGCTGTTTCTGAAGCCTGGCGTGTTTATGGCCTTCTAACCCTAAGGAGTATGGTTTTGTTTACTCACATCCTTGGGAAGCTGGTAAATAACACTTGCTCCCTATGTCAGCCTCCTCCAAAACAAGCCGCTGGTCTTACTATTGATGGCTGCACGGAGTGCTGAATGAGAGCCAGGGATGTTGCCAAGCCAGGTACCCGTGTGGTATGGGGCAAGCCGCCTCTAGACAGGGCTCTGGAAAACAAGGGCCCAGCAGTGACCTAAGGATTAAGCAATGTGGATGATCAGGATCTGATGTTTGAATGCACCTCCAGGTCCTTGTTTAGCTAGAAGGATTGATGCATCTGCTGATACTCTATTCATAGAAGCATAGAATCATTAATGTTGGAAAAGACCTCTAAGATCATCAAGTCCAACTGTCAACCCAACACCACCATGCCTGCTATACCATGTCTTGAAGTGTCATATCTACATGTTTTTTGAACACCTCCAGGGATGTGGACTCCACCACTTCCCTGGGCAGCCTGTTCCAATGCCTGGCCACTCTTTCAGTAAAGAAATTTTTCCTAATATCCAATCTAAACCTCCCCTGGCACAACTTGAGGCCGTTTCTTCTTCTTCTTGAGGCCATTGCTAGTTACTTGGGAGAAGAGATGGACACCCACCTCACTACAACCGCCTTTCAGGTAGCTGTAGAGAGCGATAATGGTCTCGCTTCAGCCTCCTCTTCTCCAGCCTTAACAACCCCAGTTTCACTTGAGGAAGAGGGGGATCTGCAATCCTCTTCCAGGAGCAGGAGAGATAGAGCACCCCGACCCTCTGCAGACTTGATAGCTCCCAATCCCAAGTGTGGACACACACAGCTCCCCATTTCCAGCCTCTGCGAGCTAAACTTTATGGTTAGTGTTAGAAACCTTGTCCATAACTGTGTGTGCAGGGCTTGTGGTAGCCTGGCAGTAATGCCAGTAAAAAGACCAGTGGGCAAAAATGATCTCCTAGGGTTAAACACAAACCTGCTGTAATATCTTTTAATTTCACAGTGATATTTCTGTCAGGCTTCAGGAGTAAGGAGTTTTGTTTCCACCTCAGAGATGTTTCTTGGGAAGATATGTAAATGAATTGAGGTTGAAAGGTAGAGAAATACTGCATTGGGAGAGATGGTCTTGGTCACCCTCCCTTAGACCATTCCTGTGGTGTTTTGCAGTGCATTTGATCTGGCATGGGCCCAGAAATTCTCATTGCCAATATCAGCACTCGTCTGTACCACTGCCACTGATGTTGTTATCAGCAGCTGCTAATGGTGTTGCCCAAGGGATACGTAACGTTCTCTAGAAATTTTGCAGTGTTATTCTGAACTCTAATATCCTTCTGTGCTATTGATACTAAATTTTCTTTTCACTGAAGTATAAAAGGTTCCTGCAACTTTTTTATTCACCTGATAATTGAAAGATATGAACATGAAGGAGAGATAGCAATGAGAACAGAAACAAATAGATAACTAGCAGAAAAAAATGTCCCATCACTAAGATTCCAGGCTCCATGGAAAGGCGTCTCAAAGGATGCAGTAGAAAGATTAGGCAAAACACTGCAATAACTGTTGCAGGGAGCAGTTGGGTTCATTGCTGCCCATGGTCAATCCTGCGCAGAAGCACCCACATTTGAAAGGCCGGCTACCCCCTCGCTGGTGCACACTGATGCCCACTCTTCCACGCCAAGCGTGTGAACAGCTCTGCTCCTGGGATTCCTGCTCATGTCTCCAGACAGCCTGCTTGTTCCCAGGCATCGGCTGTTGGTCTCCCCAGAGTGCAGAGAAGTGTTACCTTGCCAGGTTATTTCTCTGCAAACTTGTAAGGAGGTGGGTGTTGTGCCAGTCTGAGCTCCATGAACAACGCACTTAGGCGGTTTACAAACTGTGGCCACAACCAGAGCAGAGTCTCTGAGACCACCTTCACCACCTCAGTTTTGACTCATGAGTCAAATATTTGCATAAATTGAATCACTCTTCCATTAAATTCAGTGAAGAAACCCATGTGAAAAATTTCAGCTGACAGCTTTCCTTCCAGGTAGACATAAGGACCGTGAGATGTATTACATTAACTGTGAAGGTGTGTAATCTTAGTGTACTTTCTGGACCCAGAGCATACAGGGCATGTGTTGTGCATGCAGAGACTTTATAGGAGTGCGGATCTCACCGATCTGCTACAATCATGTGCTAACACATTAATTAACAGATTGTAATGAGAGCTGAAACTTGCTGTAGTGATTTCCACCAGGCAGCTTTGCCACTGGACATCTCATTTCCACGTACGCTAGCAGTGAATTTAAATGCTTGGCTAGGATTTTTTTACTTAATGTCAGTGCCTGGCTGATACTGGGTTAGCAAAGTAATCTGTGAAGAAGAGGTACTGTTTGAGGGCCGCTTAATAGCCACACTGCTCATCGTCTTTCGTAAATACTTCTTGGTTGGTGATAACCCAAACCCTCTAGTCTTTTCTGAATCATTAGAGACTGGCTTACTCATTATAGCCTACAGGCCAAAAATGATGTTTCAAAGGCCTAATCTCACTAAGTCTCAAGACAAATTTAAGTAATTATTGCTTTCATTTGAATATTTAATTTGATTAAGCCACAATGATATGCTTTCTATTGCTGAGTCTGTGAAATGAGTTGTCTCAACAACCACATATATACATGCTGCGTTTAAAATCTGCCCTCAGAAAAGCTCAGCTGCCGTGAGCCCTGCGCTGGTTTGCTGATGGGAGAAATGGTGTTGGTGATTGTGCTGGTCCTGCACCTCCTGCTGCTGTAGGTGCTAGCCAGGATGACACTGAGAGCCTAGTTGAGAGCATGTGGTTACTCTCAAAGGAGAGGGTGTTCAAAGGGATGCTGATCAGCAGACAGCATTCAGCCTCTTCTGCGAGGATGGCAGAGCAACCGCTGCAGCTTGGGCCACAGGGAACATGTGCGTATGGTTCGGAAAGGAGGGTCAAAGCACACCAGGTTTGACCACGGGGCCAGCAAAGGTGGAAGTTCAGCACAGAGATTCATTCTAGACTTACGGAAGGTGAGGGGAAAAAATGGTTGAGGTTGGAGGTGGAAAAGATAAGCCAGGAGCTGCAATCTACATGACAGGAGGACGAGAAGGACAAGTGGCAGGTGCAGAGGAGGGGCTGCAAGAACTCAGTTGAGAAGCAGCTGAATTGTGCACTATGAAATGTAATGTTAGCTGGAAATATTCCAGCATTAGCAATTAAATGAAAATTTTTGCTTTACAAAACAAGACAAAGTCCCACTCCCCGTAACATGCTCTTAACTAGAGAGAATAAATCAACAGCAATGCTAAGAACCCATAAAAAAGCCTAACCCTTAGTGGGTGTGCTAGATAAGCAGTGCTTCTCCATGTCTGCAGGCACTCTGAAAAGGTATTAGACTAATAGGCACACCAAATAGTGCTGAGATAATCCATACAGTGAGGAGGGGACCCCCTCCCTCTGCCCCCGCCAAATGCACACATTTCTGTGTACGTTCCAAAGCAATATTTAAAAAGGCTGCAGGAAAAATAATCGTGCGTTTAATGTACGTATAAGTGGATTTGGGTACTCTTTTCTAGAAAACCTGAGCCGACGTTGAAATGCCCAGCAGTTTGCCGCTCTCTTTAAAATTGGATATTTATTTGTTTTTCATGAAGTGAACTATGTCCAAAGGGTTTACTTAGACATTGACGTATTTAATTGGGCTAATTGTTTTCAATCAAATGAAAGTGGTTGTACAACTCCGTCTGTACAAAGAGGAGTCATTCCTCAACTGAAGATACCTTGCCAAAGACAACCCCATTTGTTGATTAAATTACATTCAATAGATGAGCTGTTTTGCTAATGAGGATAGGGAGCAACCTCCATAAATAGACAGACAGAGAGACTGGTGCATCTGTAGAAGGGCCTGCTCTCCGCTCTTCTCTAGCAATCTGTTTTTGCCATCATGAAAAAAAAGCACAGTGATAGATTAGGGCTTTGACAAATCACCTGTGGCAAATCTTGTTGAGGGGGTTAAGGCCATGATAGGTCTCTGTTGTATTCCTCTCTCTTGTGTTCCTCTGCTTGTGGTTCCCAGCTCCCTAGCAGTCAGCAGGACCTGTATGGGTGTCTCGGGGCCCTGCTCCATATCGCGGCGTCCCACCTCAGATCACAGATGGAGCAGAGTTCCCACCGAAACACCAGACTATGAACTGATCAGTCTTCTGCTGCTGTTTTTAGGGTGGTAACTCCTAGAAGTAGGGCAATATAAATAAACAGGAGCAAGAGAAAAGAGATGTTTATGTTTTAAACCAGCGCAGTTATTTGTTCAGTTTGACCGAGTCAAAGTGCTTACTCATATTTTGCCACAGGCTGATGCCTGAGGTGGGGACTGGAGTTATAAGCCAGCAATGCTCCAAGGGACTGCCTTTCACTTTTACCAAATGTCTGAGGGTGCATCCAAATCATCTTAATCTCTTGTCGCTGCGCAAGCCCTTATTGTTATGTTTTATTATTTACACACTGGAGTTGCCTGTGGGCCCATTCAGGATAGCACTGACGTGGCACAGCAGTACAGAGCTGCTGACTGAAGAGTGTGAAAGTGAGTCAGATCTACAGAATCCTGTGGTCTGCAAAAGGA